GATATTGAACTTTTCAATTTTACAATCTTGTGGGTTAGGGAGAATAATTGGAGGAGGAGGAGGAAGTGAAGCATGATTTCTTGTTCCTCGATCGAATCGTGGAATATCATCTTCATGTGGAATGCTTGTTCCACGGGATTTGAGAAGACCATAGTTGTCGAACTTTGACATCGGGAGAAAAACGAATTCAAGTTAGTTGATTGATTGAGTCCTTGGTAAATCACCCAAATGAAATTCCAAGGCTAGGACCCAACACAATATCCTACAACTCGGGAGAGGGATGCCGTAACCCAAATGCAGAACATTTGAAGGTAAGTGAATGACGATTCACTAATTTCCACCATGAAAAACGAAAAAGAAATTTAAGTTTTAAATCTATGAAAACTCCTAGATCCTTTGAGATTCATTGAACATTTCAATGGCATGTTTAAATCTCGATATGCCCCTCTTGTTTGTGACTGGGATGCCGAGGATCACAAAGCGGGTGTGAATAACCATGCAAACTACATGGTGCCCTCACATGTTACAATCACCTATTCGATGTGCCGGTAAACCACACACGCTCCACCGAACTATGACAAACATTGAGTCACCCTTTGCTACCTTTGCTTAGAACCATTTAGTGTGCCGGTAAACCACACACGCTCCACTAACGTCTTCGCAAGGGCACAAAGTGTAATTTCATGGAATTGCATCAATTCACTTTTGCCTAAGTAACTAAGATTGGGAATTTGCGAAACATTTAGTTACTCTGTATTTCATTATACTTATAATGGAAGGTTTCGTCCTATCCTACCCGTTCGGCTAACGACCCTCCACTAGTCAAGAGTGCGGTGGGTAAGAGTGGATACCCATTCAATCGCCATTTTATAGGCAATTTCCTTAAACACCCCTTATAGACCAGCTTCGTGAATGAGGCCTACTAACGGTAAGACTGACTTTTACTCATACATATATAATGTTAGACTTTTAATGTTATATATAGTATAGGGTGTATTTTATACTTTTAAAATACTATATGGTTAACTTTAACAATTACACTTTTAATTCAATTAAAGGTTAACCTAAACTTTTATTAAACCTCTTTTAATTATACTCCTTAACTAATTAATAAAACCATAAGGGTGTGATTTGAACTTTTCAAAACATTACTAGAGTTTTAGAATTTAACATTTCTAATTAAACCTTTAATCAACTTTTAAATTCCAAAACTTGAGGGCAAGTTTTGAAACATTTCAAAACATTAGGGTTTTAACTATTTAAATTTCAAAACAACAAAACTTTTGGGGTTCAAATTTAAACTATAAAACCTAAAGGGATAAATTGAAACTATTTCACAAGATAATTCAAATCTAAATTACAAATAATCAAACTTTATCTAATAAAACAAGTGATTATCTAAATTTTGACAATTATCTTCTATTTTGGTAAGGATAATCACATAATAATGAAAAAATTCGGATTTTATCACAAATGCAAGTTTATGGTAATTATCCAAAACCAAAACAGGAAGAAAATCGCGAATCTGAGCTGTCAGACCCTTTGACTCGTCGAGTCTGGACCTGGACTCGTCGAGTACAGCTGACTCGGCGAGTTCACCAAGTGACTCGGCGAGTCAAACATTTAGAAACTCAAAAAATCGATTTTCAGTGCTTATTTCGATCAAATATGCATCAATACAATTGAAACCAATCTAGGCTCTGATACCACTGTTGGGTTTTGGTCATAAGACATCCTATGTGCTCATACAAACCCTAATGCTTGGATCTAGGTTTCTCTATTGTACATGCTTTGAATCCAAGACTATAAACCCTAATTCTAGCATACATATAATCATATTAACATGAGAATAAGTTTATAGTGTTACCTTGATTGTTATGTAGCAATAACAATCCCAAATCTCCTTGTATTGACTTTGGAAGGCTTAGAGTCACAAGTGTCACTCCTCTAATGGCTCACAAACACCATAAGCAAGTGGAGAAGGTATAAAGAGAGAGGTGAGAGGTTAGAATTCGTATCTAGGACCTCTTGGGAAGGGATCCACGAATTCATGGCCCTAGGGGTGTTTATATAGGTGTAGAGATAGGGTTTCAGTCATTATCCTTATCTAGTTGATTATCCATTAAGCAACCAATAAGATAATCCTTGAATCCTTATCATACTCGAATTCTAAGGGATTTACACCTCAAATTCGTTCACCATATATATAAGATAATCCTTACCTTATTTTGTAACTATCACATAATTACAATTCAGCCCCTCTAGTTTAATTAATTACATTTGATCACAAAACTAATTCTTAATTAATTATTGACCAATATTAATTAAACAAATATGATTTCTCCTTTAATATATTATTCCTATAACATATTAATAAATCATATTATCCTTTCTCTCTTTATTCATTTCTCCAATCAAGTTGCTTTGGTGAAGGCAACCCAAAAGGACCATGCACCATCGGGTCAAGTACATACCAAAATAGTTATGGACTTAGACACTAATCCAACAACTTTATCTCTTAATTGTCTCTGCATCTTGCCTTATTTCCCCTTAGTTTTAGTCGGTGGTGGATCCCTCAAGTGCAATTTTGTAACTTTTGTTAGGAAGAACCTCTATAAGTGAAGCTACAATGTAGTCTTTTCAGTGACTTATATTTATAGTCAGAAGTTGTTATTATGAACCCATAAATAAGATTTATTAGTGATTCCCATCTATTTACGGGATAGGTGTCTAGAATGGTTAGGTTGGCCTGGTTATTGGATTTCAAAAGGATATATGCTAAAATGGCCCTGCCTCCCAACTATCATGTGTGGCTAATCATTTCTTGATAGATCTTGATGTAGATATTGGGTTCAATGAGGAGTCTTTACTATCATGGTATATGTATGGTTGGGTTGAGACGGACTAATGTAAAATGAAGGCCAAGAGACCTAGGGTGTCCCGGATAGACTGTAGGTCTGGGGGGGGGGGGTACCAGTCAGGCCGAAGGCCCGAAAAATGTTCCAGATAGGCTGAAGGCACGATGAAGCGCCCCAGTCATGCTGAAAGTTCTGTGAGCGTACTAGATAGTCTGTAGGCCAGTGTGATGTTCCAGTCAGGACGAAGGCTCTGTATGGATGTTGTTTCTTATTATGCTTATGTTATGTGATGGTATTTTGGGGGAACTCACTAAGCGTTGGCTTACAGTTTTGGGCTATGTTTCACATATTTCAAATGACCGGGAAGGCGAAGGAGTGATCGTGCACATCCTCTTCTTATGACTTGTGATTTTAGGAGACTCTAATGTTCGAAAATGTTTTGAAAACTATGTTTAACAATTTGTGAATTTGGGTTGGCTTTAAAAAGTTTAAAATTTTTGTGATTTTTATGGGTGTTACATTGGGACTTCCGACAAAGCATATTTCCTCAGAAATGCCTCAGAATTTTCCTCGGAAATCCCTCTCAAATAGTTGCCTAGGAGGGTTTTTCCTACGCACAACTTTTCCATGGTATTTCCTCGGAAACACCGGTTTCCTAGAATTTCCAAGGAAATTGTTCCTTGGAAAAGGCATGTTTTTTTAGTACTAACACTTTATGATTTGATGAGTCAAACACTTTATACGTTGACTGCCAACGCTAATGTCAGCAACTGCGCCAACGCCATAAGATTGTATCAATGTCAGCATGAATTTTATGATTTTATGAAATACTTGTATATTAGACAACTATACGGATATGTATAGAATAGATAACAGATCCGATATTTTGGTGATAAAGGTCAATTATTATTGTAGATTACATACAATCTCTTGATTGAAGGGATTCACTAGAATAATCTTTTTATATAATCAATATTACGGTGAAACTTTAATGTAATGTCTTTGTAACCGTCTTTATTATATTCATTCTCTCTGTGAGAACACTCATTTATTGGTGAAAGATATCTATGTGATTACTTGTATTCTTTATTTTTAAGTTTGATATTTGCTTAGTTAGTTTGTTCTTTGTTAATTATACTTAAAGTGTATCCGATCAGGGGTGGAGCTTCAACATATTATTTGGGGGGCCGAAAATATAATGCCTATAAAAATTGGAGAACAGAGGGGGCCACTGTCAAAATTTTATATGTTTTGGTCTAATATGTAGTAAATGAAAGTACTGAGGACTATTTGTAACAAAAATATCACCCCCTTGGCCCTAATAAAGCTTTGCCCATGAATGATACAAACCATCAATATTTGAACCAAATAAATATTAATTAGATTTTATCAACAAATAAACATCCAAATTTTAGTATTTATATATTTAATTTGCGTATTTTAATTTATTATTTATTTGTTTTCTTTATAAAATATTATTTTAGCCTAATTTAATTATGTTACGTTATAATATTAAAACAACAAAAATGCATAAAAAATTGTAACATTTTTAATGAAAAATTGGATTTATTTAAGTTAGTAGTAAACTAAGAAACAATTGTAATTGTTTAGTTATATAAGTGATGGAGAGAATAATTTTCTAATAAAAAAATTGAATTGGTTTGTGGTGAGAGCAACCAACAAAAAAACAAATTGTCCGATTTAAACAGGCCAAATATAAGTGTTTTATTTTATAAAAACACCCAAACAGTTAAATGGGATCTTACGGTGGGGAGAGAGATAGAGGGTTAAAGAGAGCGCGATTACACTCCCAAAGCAAACGCCAAAATTCCATTGGGAACAGCGTTCCTGGCAACATTCCAAAAGACGAATAGACTTTGAATATATTCCTAATTGGCTATACTAATTTTAATCTGTTTTCTGATGTGTGCCTACAAAATCCCAAAACTCTGGGGTCACCGAATGCCCCTATAAATTGTCTTGGCTTTTCTTTTATCATATCCCGCAAACTTATATGAGCTCCAACTGCTAGCTAGCTCGCTCTCTTTCTCTCTCTCTCTCTCTCTCTCTCTCTCTCTCTCTCTCTCTCTCTCTCTCTCTCTCTCTCTCTCTCTCTCTCTCTCTCTCTCTCTCTCTCTCTCTCTCTCATTGTCTCTATATAAAAGAAAGAGTATACAAGATTACTAGATATTGCATGATCAAAGATCAATATGCCTTCTTTGCATAAAGAACAAATAAACGCCCAACCGAAACCACTGGTTTTTGATTCTTTGATCCTGCAACATGAAACCAACATACCCGAACAGTTTATATGGCCTGATCATGAGAAACCCAACTCACAAAAAGCCAAGGAATTAGCAGTTCCTTTAGTTGACCTACGAGGCTTTCTTTCTGGACGTGCTAGTTCAGCCAAGGAAGCCTCCGTGATTGTTGGTGAGGCTTGCAAGAAACATGGTTTCTTCCTAGTGACCAATCATGGTGTTGATGCAAGCCTCATAGTAGATGCTCATAGGTACATGGACCTATTCTTTGAGCTTCCTTTTTTGGACAAACAAAGAGTTGAAAGAAAAATAGGTGAGAGCTGTGGGTATGCAAGCAGCTTCACCGGTAGGTTCTCCTCTAAACTACCATGGAAAGAAACACTTTCTTTTCAATTCTCAGGTGAAAAAAAATCATCCAAAATAGTGGAGGAGTATTTTGAGAAGACAATGGGAAAAGAATTTGCTCGACTCGGGTATATAATTTTATATATGTTTTCGTTTTCTGATCAAAAACTTTTCAAACTTGCTTTAGACTAACTCTAGTTTTCCTTCTTGTCATCATTATAGGAAAGTCTACCAAAAATATTGCAATGCCATGAGTAGACTTTCACTAGGAATCATGGAATTACTGGGGATGAGCCTTGGTGTAGAGCAATCGCACTTTAAGGAATTCTTCAAAGAAAACGATTCGATAATGAGGCTAAACTACTACCCACCATGCCAAAAACCAGACCTCACCTTAGGAACAGGTCCTCATTGTGATCCAACATCATTAACAATTCTTCACCAAGATTCCGTTGGTGGACTAGAAGTGTTCATAGACAATGAATGGCGTTCAATTGCTCCAAATCTTAATACTTTTGTAGTAAACATCGGTGATACATTCATGGTTCGTAACTAAGCTTATCCTAAAATTAATCTCCATGACTAGGTTTTTTGTAGTTATAGTTTTTGTTTGTTTGTTTTTTTTTTCTTAAAATCTTGATTTGTCTTCTTCAGGCACTTTCAAATGGACAATACAGAAGCTGCTTACATAGAGCTGTGGTTAACAACAAGATTCATAGGAAATCACTTGCTTTCTTTCTATGTCCAAAAAAGGATAAGGTGGTGAGCCCACCAGATGAACTAGTGGACGAAAAGAACCCCAGAATTTATCCAGATTTTACATGGTCTACGTTTCTTGAATTCACTCAGAAGCATTACCGAGCAGACATGAACACCCTCCAAGCTTTCTCCAACTGGATTCAGCAGAAAAACAGCTGAATTCGAATTCTTTTTTTCCTTTCTGTACCACTATCCTTCACATGAAACGAAATGAGGAAGCAGAGATTCTTAAGTCAAAAGATTCCCATAACCTATAAGTTGATTTTCAATCTTATTTGTTATTACCGAGTACCTTATCCAGCTATATGAAAGCGGATGTACAACAGAAGTTTCGTACTCTGAAGGAGAATGCATGAAACCAGTATCTTGGTTAATACTGTAGTTGCATGAAAAAAGTAATGTTGAGGTCGATGGACAAGGATTTAGTTTCTATCGAGGTCATATTCGGGATGCGTATACATATGCCAAAATTTGTGATTTTCTATTTTAGTAAATATGTAGGAAATAATTTTTAATAACCACTAGTTAGTAGCATTACCAGCCATCAAGTTTAGTGAAGAAGAAACAAAAAAGACATTAATAAATACTAGTAAGGGGAATCCTATGCTAGATTAATTCGTTTTAATTTGTATTTCAAATTATTTTCATTGTTTTACATGATTATATATCATTGTATAAGCTTTAGATCCATTAATCAACGTTTTCTTTATCTTCATGTTCCAACTTTCATTGAATCTCGACATTTGAGTTACCTATATATTTTGATTCAATCGTCATGGCTTTCTCTATATCAATTGGAAAGTACTTGATGTCTAACCAACAACTGTAACTTTGATGTACATAATTAATAATAAGTGCATATAGATTTAAAATTGAATCATTAAAGATTTAGTAAAGACTTATTTATTAAAGTGACCATTATTCACTATAGTGACCATAGTTGAATTTTAGCATATAACCACTTTTACAACAATTAACTTTCAAGATTTAAAATTAAATCATTAAAGACTTATTCACTAAATGGACTAAATTAACTATAGTTTTAACATAGGAAAAACTACAATAAAATTGTTACATATTAGTTTCATAATCGATTTAGTTTTTTTATTTTTTTATTCAATTAAATCTTAAAAACCGATAATCATATTCAATTAAATCATTTTACCCGGTCAATAGATAATCCAACTTTCAAAAATTATATTTTTAGTCTAGATTTTAAAATTTATTATAAATTTGGTCCACAATTTATACTTTTAGCCTAGATTTTAAATTTTATTACAAATTTAATCCAAAATTTACCTTTTTGGTCTAAGTTTTAGAATTATGTTATGAATTCATCCTAACTTTAACTTTTTTACAACTGTTTTCGCAAAACAAAAATTCAAATATTTTATTTCTTTATAAAATCATATTTATACAAAAAAAAACATATTTTCCCATAAAAAATCTTATATTTTCTATATAAAACCTTTTTTTTGTTTAATATATATATATATATATATATATATATATATATATATATATATATATATATATATATATATATATAGTAATTTATAATAGACAGCAAAAACACAATAAAGTCCTACATATATATTTTTAAATATTTATTTTCGAACTTAAACAATAAAAATAGATACAAATGAAACATTTTTACGTTGTATTTGTTATCATTGGAATAATTCAACTTGCAAATGAAACATAAATGATTAAAACAATTAGCAATTTTCCCACTAATCACTTAATTAGTAAAACAATGATTCTTTCAAATAATAAGTCATATGTTTAGGAGATGTATATGATATTTAACATTAAATTAGAAATATGATGGTTTGACGACTTTGTTTGGATAACAACCAATCCAGTATAACGCGGACTTGCAAGAATGCTTGGTCTAACATAAAGCAAATTAAACAATCTAATCGAGTAAACTGTATACTTTTTTTCTAAAGAAAGTATTTATCAATGTTTCACCGTTCTCATCTAATAAGGTTTTATAATGCTTCAGAAGCCACATATATTCCCCAGTGAGTATCAATGATTTTTGCCCAATTATACCATTCAACCATGCACACACAATAATAATTTATTATTAACAAAGAGTCATAGGGGACCTATTTTCGCTAAAGGTTTGGAGAACATATTTTTAAATATTTGTCTAATATTTGTAATGTGTTTTTTGGTCGACTTCAAAATTTTGGTCATGCATAATTACAATTTTGATTGTGTTTTTGCATAGCAACACATGAAAATGTCGTTCCCAAGTCGATACTTATCGATGGTGTTTTGTTTGTTTATAAGTTGGCAAATAACATCCCTCTTGTGAGTAGTTAGATTTGTTTCCTTTGTCTATGACGCATTTCATTCCCTAATTCACTCTTGTATATATTCACTATTTGCACTCATTTAATTCATATTATTGTTATTTATAATTTATATGTGAATACATTGTAACACTTGTTTTCCTAGATGAATCGAATTAAGGTTTCAATGAGTTAAAATGTTGGATTTTAGAAGGAAAGAAGCCTCACGACGATAGACATAGATGCTTACAATGTGAGATGGGATAATGTAAAACTTTTATCGGGATTGGTCTCACAATGTGCGACATATAGGCTCATGATGTGAGAACTGATGCAACCTAGACTCATGATCTTTTAAGGTTTCCTCTGTAGTTAAGTACCTCTAAGCCCATTTTAGGGTTCATTATCTGCCTCTAAACCCTCTATCACCTCAGAAAACCCTAGTCTTCATCATTTGATTCATTCTTGGCCATTGTGGAGCAATTCTTGGTTTGAAGAAGAAGAGAAGAAGAAGAAGGTGATATTTTGAAGAGGCTTGCAAGGAATCATCATCATCATCACCTTACATTGTTTCTGGACCTTTTTAAGTCTCAAAGCTTCATCATTTAAAGTTATTTGTGGCTAGATCTAAGTTTTGTCCCACCTTCCTTCTTGGTTAAGAAAGTTTGAATAAATGGAAACCATAAAGTTGGCAACTTTATGGGTTATAAGGGCCTTAAGAGTGTCATGAAGTTCAGATCTAGTGAATGGTTGGGTTTTGCAACCTTGCATGAGTTTGTTCCAATGTTCTCTCCGACTAAACATATAAGCAATCATCTCAAATCAATAACGGATCTCCAGGCTACATTAGTTTGTTCCAATGTTCTCTCAGAAGGATAAAAGACCATTTTACCCTTCTAATGGTCCAAAAGTCCAAGTGTTGACCCAACCCTAAAAGTCAACAAAAGTCAACGGTCAACTTTGACCAGACTCGTCGAGTACACATAGGTGACTCAGAGAGTCCAAGTGTGTCCTCTGGATCTTTCTAAACCTCACTCGACTGGTTGAGTGAACCTTCCACTCGACGGGCTACAACCGGTCACGAGTTGCGCGGCAACCCGACTCGACTCGTTGAGTCCCCTTATAGACTCGATGAGTTTCTTCCATGATAATCACCCAAACGACCTTCTGAGGTCGAATCTGCTTCTCTAACCTACATATCTGACTTCCCCATGTCCTAAATAATGTAAAGGTCAAATCTTGACACTCATGCAACGCATCCAAAACTTCTTTTGGTGACATGGCTTTTAAAATGGCACCCTAGGTTCATTTCCTCCATGGAACAACATAAAGCTGGATAGATAATGCTCTCTGGACCTCTAAAGGTCTAGATCCAGAGTCTAACACTAAGATGGACATCATATGCATCAATTCAAGCCAATAATGGGGTATAGAAAACCCTAGATTCAAGGATTTATACAAAATAAAAGGAGGGATCGATTTTCTACCACAACAATGAAGACCCAAGCTTGAAAACCACAGAATCACAATCCCCTTGACCTTCTCTTGCTGGAAACACCTTCTTCTTTGCAAAACCATAACAAAAAGGGATCAAAATAGCTTTCTCTCTCTCTCTCTCTCTCTCTCTCACAACTTGCTCAAGCTCTCTATGGTTTCTCTCTCTAGACTGGTAGCCGCAAATGAGGGCTATAAGGTCCCTTAAATAGCACACATGCCTGGAGATTTAGGGTTTCTGACCTCATCGCGAACTCGTTGAGTCCACCCATCGACTCGTCGAGTCCGTTTATTAATCCAGTCAGCAATTGCGATCCTACTCGGCAAGTTTAAGCGTCAACTCGCCGAGTCCCTCCTCAAAACTCAAAATAAAGAAGTAAAATATGATACATGGAAATCCGGATGTTACAATTCTCCCCCACTAGAATCAGACTTCGCCCTCGAAGTCTCATTTTGCAAACAACTCTAGGTGTTGCTCCTGCATCTCTGCCTCCGACTCCCCAGTCAGCTTGGACCCTCTCCGATGTTGCCACTGGACCTGAACCAGGGGCACCTCCTTGTTCCTCAGAACCTTGATCTTCCGATCCACCACTGCGATTCGCCTCTCAACATAATTTAGGCTCGCATCCACCTGAATATCCTCTAATGGTACCACTGCCGACTCTTCAGCTATACACTTCCTCAACTGAGACACGTGGAAAGTATCATGTTTCTGGTCCTACTCTACAGGTAGCTCTAAACGATACGCTACCCTGCCCACCCTTGCGATCACCTTGAAAGGGTCAATGTACCGGGGCCCCAACTTGCCCCTCTTCCTGAATCGAATCACTCCTTTCCAAGGAGACACCTTCAGGAGTACGAAGTCTCCAACCTGAAACTCAAGCTCGGATCGTCGCCTATCCGCATAACTCTTTTGGCGACTCTGGGCTATAAGCAATCTGTACCTGACCTGCTGAATCTGTTTAGTTGTTTGAAGCACTATCTGAGTGCTACCCATCACCCGCTACCCTATCTCTCCCCAGCAGATAGGAGTGTGACACCTCCTCCCATACAACAACTCGAAGGGAGGCATACCAATGCTCGAATGGTGGCTATTGTTATAGGTAAACTCAACCAATGGTAGGTACATATCCCAATTTCCTCCGAAGTCCAACACACATGCTCGAAGTATGTCCTCGAGCGTCTGAATCGTCTGCTCACTCTGTCTGTCTGTCTATGGGTGGTATGCGGTACTGAAATGCAATCTCGTACCCAACTCCTCATGGAACTTCTTCCACAACCTGGAAGTGAAACGTACATCTCGATTTGACACAATCGAGATTGGTATACCATGTCGCGATACCACCTATCTCACATACATCTCTGCCAGCCTCTCTGTGGAAGAGCTCTCACTAATAGCTAGGAAGTGAGCGCTCTTCGTCATCCAATCAACGATCACCCAAATTGCATCAACACCCCTCGCAGTTCTCGGCAATTTGGTGATGAAATCCATAGAAATCTACTCCCACTTCCACTGGGGAACCTCAAGTATCTGCAACTTGCCATGCAGACCCTGGTGCTCAGCCTTAACCCTGCGACAGATCAAGCACCTCTCGACGAACCATGCAACATCCCTCTTCATACAGGGCCATAAGTAGTCTCTCTTCAAGTCCAAATACATCTTAGTGGCCCCCGGATGGATTGAGAACCTTGATCTGTGCACCTCCTCCATCAGAATGGTACGTGCCCCTCCCCCAAACAACACCCAAATCCGACCTTGAAAGGTCATAAGCCCTCGACTATTGGTAACGAACTCAGATATCTGCCCGATCAACCGCTCTCTCTTGCGGTTCTCCAGTCACACGGCCTCTAGCTGGGCCTCTTAAATGGTATCCAACACCAGAGTCATCACCGCCATCCTCATACAAATATCTCGTATCGGGGCACTCTCCGCCCTCCGGCT